TTGATCTCACAATAAGTTGTTAACTCTTTGTTCTGCAGGCAGCCCATTTCTACCTGTCTGTACAGCAGCTGGAGCAATGGGGCCGCAGTGTGAGTGAGTTTCTAGATGCCTTTGTGGTAAATCTGTTTGCTAATAATTAGTATTCCTGATGGAGTAGTCTGCATACTCATTAGGACTATTGAATGATTAGAAAAAGTTACAATATTTCTAAAGGGGGGGAACTACCCATCATGGATTTTCATATATATTTTACTAAAAGCGTTGAAGTTTTCTTCCTTCTTTTTCCTAGTCCCTTTCCATCTGCTTGAAAAGATAGCTGGGTCTAAGCAGGCAAATTAGGAAAATTTTGATTCCTAGAAAAAACTCCTAGCAATTTTGTTATTATTTGAAGACTATTTAAAAAAAAAAAAAAGTTTAAAATCCAGACTTGATCAGGTATTCAAGAAAAGACACCCTCCACAAGAGCGCAGTTCACACTATGCTCTGCCTCACTGGCACAAGGATACACAGTTCCTCTACCTTCACAAGAGGAAGTTTTCTGAAGCTGGAGAAGATGCAACTAGAAGCTACCAGTCCAATGTATTTAAGTTCACAGCTAATTTACTGCCCATGTAGTGATCCAGATTTAAAAATGTTATTTAGCTGCTAGGAACAGATCTGTCCGTCTGACATAAGTCACAGGTGAGTAAAAGCATGTCTCATACCCGTACATACATCTTGTATGCACACGGTCTTGGACAAGGTGAATGAAATCTGTGAACACAGACTGATTTCTTTTAACTGTCTTTTCTCTGCATTTAGTTCCAAACGGTAAAAGTCTAAGATAAAATGTTCATTGCAAATAGGTTAACTGACAAACTTAGCTCCTTTGTTTTCTGTTTACAGATTCTTTTTGAACCACATTGTTTTTCTACAGATCTGTCGGGGCTGTTTTCACAAAATTTTGCAGAATGTCTTCTGTGGGCAAATTTTATCCCATAAGATGAACTGCTCTGTTCTATTTACTATTTGTTGTTTCTGGTGTATGTTTGGTCACCAAAGTCATATAGTATTATTTCTGCTTTCTGACTGCATTACATTTGTAAACAGATGAGTAATGAATAACAAATGTTGATGAGCAGATAATGAATAGCAGACACTTATTTACACAGATATGCCCTTGTATGCATTAAAATCCTGACTTCCATAGGGAAAATAGCTTTTTCTAAACTTTTGTATATGAAATCCTGTCTGTCTGAAGTTACTGAAGATGCTTTCTTAAGTAACTGGTTCCAGCATCCCTTATAAATTTAGGAAATGAGGCGTGGAGAGAGATTTCTCTTACCCATCTGAACCAAACCCATACTGGGCTTGGAATACAGCAGGATTCTCTGGAATAGGAAGGGAATGTATTTTATCTCCTTTCCTTAGGGCAAATCAACGGACAAAGGCACTGCTATGCACAAGGAAATACAAGAAAGCTGTGGCCTTTAATTTTCACTCACTAAGGTTTTTGCTGAATTGAATATCAGTTTTCCTTGACTTAATACTTGAAATGACATTTTTTTTCCAAATATATTATTGTTTGGAAGAGTCTGTTTCTACATTTGTATGTTATTTATGGATGACTCAAGTGTGAAGACTTAAAATCATGTAAGATTTAGATCCGAAATGATGGGATGGTAAGCAGCAGGCTACACTAGCAATGGATGCACAGTGGCTAAGAAATATGTGACTGCGCTTTATCTAAAAGCAGGAGATCAAAATCATCCCCTAGAAAAGATCTGCATCGCTGTTCATTTGGACACATCCATAAACATGATGCTATCACAATTCAGAAACAAAAAGACCCTCTGCTGTTTCCTAGTGTTACGATGCTGAGCAGCTTGCCATAAATCTATTCTGGGATTTCTTCTCAGTCTTTTACATAGAGGTTATTCTCTGTATATGGTTATTTTCATCATTCAGTCTGTCCATGTCAGTTTATTAAATAAATCAGGGAAGACTGTAACAACAATGCTTCAGGCATTCATAATTTGACTGAAATAAACAATTCCCGGATACTACTGGTCCATTATGTTGGTCCATTATGTTCATAAATAGGACGATTTAGAAACAAGTTGCAATCTGCAGTTACTACAGGCAGTCGTAGGTGGGGATATCACAGTGGTTTGAAGGCATTTGCTGCCGATCCGGCTCTGTAGGTCAGAGTATGGCTGTTACGCCATGCGGGCCTGGCAGAGGTCCTCTGCCAACAGCAGACCAAAGGCCTTTGCTAACCCGAGACATTTACATGCTTCGTTATTGCCCCATGTGTGAAAGTGCATGCTATCGCCCCACCAAAGTATGCTGTGTATGTATAAGCATGTGTACAGGCTTATATTTATACATTTAAGGATTAAATACGAGGTGTAACTGGTCGTGACTTTCTCATGATGGTATGACTTTTGGCAGTCCTAATAGCTTGTCTTGTTACTGCATTTGCTTTCCATTTCTCCAATTTCATGATTCAAACTGAGTTCATTTTCACTTCTTGTAAAGTACCCCATCCTTCGTACGGTGGCTTGAAAATCTTCCGCACTGTCAAGGCAAGTTCTGCGTGAGGTTCAGTGGTAGCCTCACCTGGACCTGGATGCCACCAAGGTGCCTCTGACACAGGCAGCAAGGGTGTTTTTTAGGCATGTCCATGTAAATTCTTCTTTTCCTGGTTTTGCTGGCAAGGATTTTAGCAATAGCATGTCAGAGATGGGGTTTGCAATACTTAAGGGGTGCTGTGCTTCCCTCGGAGGTTAATAGTAGCCAGCTTTTGGTTTTTTAATTGTAGAGCTACACTGGTTTAACAAAGATTGCCTTCAGGACAGCAATTCCCATATTTACAACTCTTACCACAGAAATTGCACTTACCGTGTTTATGAAAGTTACTTGAAGTAAATACAGCACCCTCGATTTTGATGTCTTTTTTCCTATAATTTCAACACTTTTGCCCTTTTGCCTAAAGTTAACAGCTTGTAACTTTTGCTAATTATTTGTCATGACCAGCTTGCAGTTCTGCCTATTCTCAGCTGGTTGGTTTGGTCCTTATTGCTCATTTTATGCATTTTCTTTGAATGCTGCTTTCAAACATTTTTTATTTGTTTTGCAATGCATGAAGCTGGAATTGATTCACATGACATTGCTAATAATAATGCTGCAAGCAGTTAAGAATCAGTACTGCTCATAATCAAGTGTCTGGACACACATAATATGTGCATTTCTCAACTTTTTTTAAAGAATTTTTTTTTATGCTGATGTCTTTTTTTAAGAAACTAAAAGTCAGTCTTTCATTCCCACTGTAGCTCAGAAAATTTGAGGAATTCTCTTTTCCTTTCTTCTTTTACAAAAGCTGTCAAACGATGGAAAACCTCATAGTACCTTTATGCACTAGCATAGCATTTTCTGTACCCTGACCTTGGAAATATTAAAATTAATTGGCTGTGTATCATGTGTGTAATATATTTATTAGTATACATTTATTAATATATTTGTATTTAAAATATTATCATGTCCTACTTCAATAACATATTTCTGTACACTTGGTATGGCATGATATAGTTATACAACAAAGTACATTTGTATTTGTACTTACAAATGTATTTTTGTCTTTTGTTCTAGGTTATGTACTGTAATTTCCAAAGGGTGACATAATTTACTTTCTTTGTACAAGAATCTTGTTCCATTCCTTTAAAAGACCGTGTATTTTTACGTCACACTGTATGTTAAAGGAGCAGTGATTGAAATAATTGTTGTCAAGGAAGAATGTATTAAAATTATTAATAAGACTTAAACCCACACGAGACTTACTGAATCATCTGATCTGACCTAAATTTATGACCCTTCCTCCCAGTTCTTCCCTTTGCATACTTGCACAAAGACAGGAGGATTGAAAGCAGAAAAAACCAACACAATAAAGACCAGTGAAAACTGTATATTTACATTAGGTCGATGTAACGTTTTGTGATTATAATAATATAAACAAACAAACTATAAGGGCATTCATATCAGACCTCATTTCAAGCTGAACTATTATAAAGCGATTAACAGCCTCACTCTCCTGCTTTAATTAAGTTATGTTGTGAAATATTCAGCACTTGAACCTGTTCTGGCCTGCCTCTTTTATCATTGAATTGCCATCCTTAATGTGTTTTTCTGCTGAAAGATGAATTTCATTTAAGGATTACCGTACACTGCTCTGGCATTTTGTGGTTTCTTGTCAGCCCTTGTGAATCTAGATCATAGCTAACTTCAGTTCCTCTGACATGTCCTATATGCACAGTCTCTTGACTAGCCTGTCTCAGTGGATTTATTAACTCATATTGTATTCCTGTAGAAATGAATGGACATTTTTGATTAACTTAATGATAGAAATTTCAGATGACAGTAGAGTTTACTTTTGGAGCTACTTCAGGTTATGTAGGCCACAGCAGCTCTCTAGTGACCTATCACTTCACAGAAATGTGTTTTGAAAGTTTCAAGGCAGTGGACATCCATCTGCCAAATACATTAAGATGGTGCTAGCAAGGAGGGACTTGAACGGTCCTTCAGAGTTGGGGTGTCTAAATTCACAGCCACCCCCAGCGCTGCGCTTTCCTTTCCCAGGGTTGGTTTTCAGCTGTTATATCCCACCACATATTGCAGAGTCTGCCTTCAGGCAAATTCATGCTACCAGATGACTTTGAGGAAGGGTCAATGAGTAATGCTCCAGCCAAGCATCCCGTTTCCCTCCTTTCTACTTGTGCCTACCCTGGACTAAGGCGATACAGCTCAGCACTGCACCATCAGCTTTGGTGGTGCTTTTTCACTCTCAGTTGTCTGATGATCAGGCTGTGCTTTTAGGGAGGGGAGGACATGCCAATCAATATTGTCACATTCTCTTGGCTAGTCACATAAATGTCCTTAGAAGGAGTTCACCAGATCTTGAAATGTGATGACAGGTCATGTGGGTTTGTTTGCTCTCACCATCCTGCAGATCTGTCTGCTCTCAGGGTGGGTGGCAAGGCAGAGGCTCCTGATGCTGTACCTGGTCCTGTATGGGTATGGTGCCACAGGGATGGCACCCAGAGACGGGAACTCCTGAAGGAGGTCTTCCCCTGGCAAGGCGAATGTTTGCTCAAGCACAAAGGTTTGAATGATGTGGCTTTGGCTTCCAGCATGGTAATTACATGCTGTAAATTACACTCAGCTCTGGCACTGATTGAAAATATATGTGGTAATTTACTTGTGTGAAGGTAGTCTGAGGTCCATGCTGTCCTCTGTGCTGGACAAGCACAGCATGCATATCTTTTCCCCCAGAGCTCACAGCTCAAACAAGGAAAACAGAGCTGCAGAGAAGGATGTGGTGTTCACAGTGAACGATCCATGGCTTGCAAAACACATGGTAGATAAACTCCTCTACTTGTTGGTAGGGACAAACACAAAAGGAGGACAAGCAGATTTAATGAAAGTAGGCTAAGACAAATGCCAGAGAAGAAGCAGAGGAATGTGCAGGATTGATTAAGGAGGGAGGAAAACACTCTGAATAAAGGAAGCAAGCAGTACAGGGGAAAATGCATCTAGCATAAAAGGAGGATCACAACAGAGATCGTCCTTTTTGCTGTGTGGATCCCCTGCAGACTGAGTTTCTGAGCTGGCTCTCCCAGCCATTTCTCTTCCCTGAAGTCATAGATCAGGGAAAAGACAAGAGGCCAGGAAGGGCTTGGTGCTCTTGATTGGACAGGTCAGAGCCCTTGGTTGAGGGGATGAGAGAGAAGGGTAACTGTTCCCATTTCGCAAGCTGTGGTGTGGCAGCTCTTGCAGTTGCTTGTTCCTGCTCTGGCCAACACTGTCCCAACAGAAGCTGCCTTTCTGCTTTCATGAGAGTGTTGGCCACCTTAATTCTTACGGAACAACTGCATATAGCAGGTGTGTAAGACACGTTTGTGTTGCAGGCAGAAGAAAATGCAGGGCTTGTCCTGTCCTTGTAGCTGCTGTATGTTTCTAACAACTTGTTCTGAATGAAAGCCTTTTAACCCCAGAGACTTTGGTGTGGGAAATTCAGATCATTCATATTTTAGCTTAAATTTCAGATGACCTTTCCTTGTTTTAAAATGTTTTTAAAATTGTTTAGGACTGATTGAAATGAAAGCTGTCACTAAAATGAAGTTTCCTATTGTCCTGTCGTTCCTGGAAAAGAGTTGGAGATAATTTCCAGTGCCCATTCTTGCTTTCTTAACTCACCTAAAACCAATCCTCTCCTAAGGCAGTTGCTCAGAATAACAGCGTGCACGTTAGGATCGTGGCACTGGCACACTGTGCTAGTTACTTGATTACTTGTAATGCGTAAGAACAGCTGAGGAAATGTGAACTGGAACACAAGCAAACTGAGCTAAATCTAACTTTTCCCAAGTGGGGGGAAGAATTTGTATCTGGTGATTTTGTAAGAATCTGAGCTCATCATTTCAGCAAAAAGAAAAAGCAAAACTATGCGAAAGAAGGTTTTGACGCACCTACCTTAAATTAGAGGTTTTCTATGGCTAGCTTCATGGGTGAGTTCCAATCATTTCAGCCAGCGTAATACATTTTCTTGAAAGAAAAGGCAGGTGCTAGACCTGAGTTATTTCCTCTGCATTAAGTAGTTAGTAGTGTTTGGGAAGAGCATGCCAGTGTATTGCAAGGATATAACAATATCATCAATCCCTTCCTACTGTAAACAGGAGTAGCATCTCATGGGACAAAATGAGTGACGCAAAGGTCTTGCAAAAGTGAAGGGTTAAAAAGCTTGCACTTCAGTGGGAGTATAAAAATAACGCTTCTCATCATCAGCTCTAGTTAAGGATAGGGGGTGCTTAAACCGTGTGCTATGATCCATCTGAAGTCTTGAATTCTGCTCAGCCTGTGTAAAGAATTAACACGAAAAAAGGTTAAATGTAATTCTGACTGACACGGGGAGGTACAAAGCCTACCCAGGCAAATGTGTTTAGAGCAAACCAGGAAACTAGGTAACTGTGTCAATAAACTAGCTTTATACAACGCACTAAAATACACCTTATTTACTCTGCCTCATCTACAATTCAGTTAGCAGCACAAGGTTATTTTAATACTATACAGAGATCAGAGACTAAAAAGTGCTTGTGGGTACAGGCGCAAAGGCTTCTCAAAGAGAGAGAAATACAAATACTTGTTCACGAAATTCTCGGGAAGCTTTCTTTTTTTAATCATCATTGCCATTTTATTGTTTAACCTACCCTGCTTGATCTCCCTACTTTTGGTTAATACGGGAGTCAATTACAGCTTCATCTGTGCAGAATTAACTTTATAGAATATACACTAGGGATTTGTCTATCTCCTCTATTTAGATCTTGTCATAAAAAAATATGTAGTACGGAACCGTGTGCAAGCACTGCATATGGTACAGGCTTTGCAGATTTATTGTAAAATCATTTTAAATCGGTTAAGCTCTTGCCAGAAGTTAATTAAATATGTTCCTTTGGTGGGGGGTGGGGGGACTCTGTGTGTGTGCGTACGTGTGTGCGTACGTGTGTGCGTGTGTATGGGGGGGGGCCTTCTGTCTCACTAGGTGGCAGTGTCTGATTACATCTGGAAGGACCCCGCCAGCAAGCCTGGTGTCTCCAGCTGTGACCTCCAGCACCAGGATGAAATCCCTGACTCTGCAGCTACCTCGAGAGGTAGCACCACCGTTCACGTCTCTGTCTACACTGTTCACCTCAGCGGCTTCCAGGAGCTCTACAGGCACTTCCTCAGGCTACCTGATGGGGCTATCGTTGAGGTAGGTCCAAGCAGGCTCCTCATCTGCAGATTTTGAAGGCAAAGGGGTGCACTTCAGAAGTAGGTCAGCGTCAAAACGGGCAAATAGACCTGCCTGACCCCCCACAAAATATACACTGAAATCTTCCGTAGGAAGAACTCACTCCTAAACAGTAGTGTAAAATCAATGTGTTAATGTGTTTGCAGTGCAAAGTAGCAATTTAGTATTGTTTATAGAGCCATTTAAAGGCAATTATGTAAGAGATACATTGAAACTACACACATAGAGATTATTTATAAATATGTATTGCTTAGAACCGCGTAAGGTCATACTGTACAGTAATTACATATAAATATAAAATGTAAGTATTGTGCACATTTATTGTACAGCTAGTACTTACTACAGGTATGGTCATTCACTTAGTTTTTCCTCAGATACAAAGAGCTAAGGCATAATTATATTACTTACTGGCATCTTGGACATTTTAGATTGAATCCTGGATGTTGCCAGATTTAAATACAATACAGGATGGTGTTAAAAAGAAGTATTGCCTATTACTTTTTTCATAGGCTGCATTTTGTTCATTGCATTGTCATTTTTGTTCAAAGTGCTTAGAAGAAGTGCATTTCCTTGTTGCCTTTGGTCTTGTGTTGAGAAACCTTTAAAAAAAACTTGGCATCTAAGAGAAAGTAGAGCGAAAGAATATTACTTTACCTACCCAGATAAGAAGTGGGAGCATCATCACGGAGGTCTGTTTACCATAGAAAACTGGCACAAATGAAGCTGAAGTACAAAGTTTTCAGCTGCTCACTTCGAAGGTGAAGGTTCAAGTAGATCTTTCCAGCATGAGGCAAACATTGCTTCTGTTCCTTTGGTTAATGTTTCAAGGCTGTTTTCTTCATTAAAAGATTTTATTCTTAATGTCTTTGCCCTACTTGGCTTTTTAAAGAAAATTTAATTTAAAGGAAACTGTCCTCAAGGAATCCAAACATAATTTTCTGCCCCGGGAACTTGTGATTCACCAAAGTGAAGACACCAGAGTCTTAGAGCTGGCCAAAGAAAACAAGAGAAGGCATGTGTCCTACATGAAGTAGAACTTAATTATTGAAACTAAGAAACTGGCAAATCCAGGTCCGTGCCCGAGTCTGTTAAAGAAGCTCCTCATACAAATCATTGGCTAGATTTTTGCTAGAACACCTTTTTCCTGTTTGAGGTCAACAACACAGCCCCATTCCTACTTTCTGCCTGTTACAAATAGTAGCTCTTTGCAGAATGGTTATTCCCAATTAAGTTCTTCTCAGCTTTTTGGTCATGAGGTTTCATTCAGCTTCCACAAGGCTGTGGAAGGAGGGGCTTCGAACACCTGAGGCAATCTTAACTCAGTGCACTTGTTCGGTTCATTAATCCCTTCTGTATTTCTGCAAGAGGAGAAATGCGTTCCCATACAATGTAATTTTGTGTTCCCAAAAGCTTCCAGCTTCTGAACTGATGCTGATCAGCATCTGCAAAGTGAGCACTGCACAATGAGGATGGCTCAAGCTACTTCTGTACAGTTTCCTACACCAGATCATAACATTGTCTATCCCTAAAATCTACATGGTTGAGTCTTATGTCATCATCTTGAAAGCTGCACGTCTAATATAGGAGATCAATGAATGCTTTACAGCATTTTTACTTGTAGATCTAAATACAATTACATAGAAGTAATGTACTTAACTAATAATTGCAGTAAAACATATACAGATCTTACATTTAGCTGATGATGGAGGTAATTATACATTTGTGTATTTTATAGGTCAGGACTTTCTATTTCTGTTTCAAATTAGGAATATTCTATATGTTAATGAATTTTAAAACTATACACTGGCTAGTGAGAAGTTTGCTGCCACAGGGCAAATACACCTGAGCTTCACCACTTGATGCTGTTGCTGCCCCTCAGGAACTGGTTTTTTTGCCTCTGCTGCAGCTAGACAAGCAGTGGTACTTGAATGGGGTTAGAAAGGTTGCAGCCTTAAGTATAACTTTTAAGGGTGTAGGAAATGAAGACTACATGGGCTTCTTGGGATGATCTTCCAGTCTGCTCCTTCTGTGGACAACTCATTGTGTATAAGCATTTTCAGTCTGAGTATTTAAAGCCAGTCCTAAAGATTCAGGTAATTTAGTTTACCTAAACCTAGTCTAGTTTAGGTATTTTGTCCCCAGTGATTCAATGGAAAGATTTTTCTGGATCCTTACGGTCTATTTGGTCAGAAGTCTCCTCTTATTCTCCGGCCTCAATTTATTCATTGTCTGTTTCCATGTATTTGTTTGGATCACCCTTTGGTGTAAATAAGACTTCTCTCTTCCAGAAGTTTACCTACATAATCTAATTTCATAATCTAATCCATTTTCTGCCAGAATGGGTACCACACTTCACCAGAAGAAACAAGACAGGCTCCCCTTTTGCTTTTCATTCCCTTCCTCACCCTACCAGCAGTGCTGAAGGAGGAAGGGCTCTTCTTCCACAGTGGCGAGGGCAGAGATTGTCACCTGTTCTCTCCCTGTCATAGGAATGACAGCTGCCTTTCCTCTTTCTTCATGATCAGCAAGCCTCTTTCTCCCCACCAGAGATGAGATATTTGCACGAAATGCTGTCTTGAGACTGTAGGAACATGGCCTGTAGGAACAGGGGAGGTCTGTGGCAGCTGTGACGTTGTCCTACCTTTGTACATACATCTACCTTGTCTGCAGAGTCCACAGAGCAAGAAAACAACCAATTTGCACTTCTTTTTCCTCTCTTTTGGATGGGCTAGTGCTATTGCACAACTGCAGAATACAAGGAGTGATTCAACAGCGTCTAGGAACTGGGGGTTGCACGTACGTTCTTCCTGCGAAACAGTTATGCTTTTTACTACAGTAACCTACCAAGGGTGAAAATGTAATTATTTTAGTGTAGCTTTTTGTTTGTTTGTTCACTTTTATTAAGAAACTCTGAAGGCATGTAACCCTGAAGACAGCAAAATGAAAAGGCTTTGACTTTTTAATTTCTGTGAATTTCAGGAATCATACCTGAAAGAGCCATAACACCTATTCCTAATTACTGCAGTGGGACCTCATTAATTCAAGCATTTGGGGACTAAGATCTCTCCATTGGATTTGTAACGCTTTGTGCCATTACAGCATGATGGTTGCTGGTATTGGTAGGTGTTCTTCAGAAATAATATGTATAATAGGAGGAAATGAGCAATTTGGCAGAAAACACTACAGAAATGATAACAACTTTGAAAAGCATGTGCAAATGTAGACATTGTTCAGAGGGTACCACCAGCATGAGCAGTAGGTTCTTAGCATTCAACTAACTGAGGTGTATGTGCAGGCTAGTGAGCTCTGGGTTATTGGGGTGGCAGTATATCTCTCATCAAAGACACTGACATGAGAAGTATTTAAATCACCAGGCCAAATTCATCCTCAAATTCATGTGTTCAACTCCTAGCGACTTCAACCTCAGATATATTTCTCTATATGCAGATATTCTTCGACAGGCATAAGAAGAATTCTGTGTAATCTTGCTTTAAAGTCCATGGATGCTCATAAGGAATTTATGTAATATTCACAACCCCATCCTACTCTTTTATGTAATATTCACAACCCCATCCTACTCTTTTTTACTTCAGTGAAAGCAAGATTTTCTCATAGCCCTAATTCAGCAAAGCACTTAAGTGTGAACTTCATTTAAGCCAAGGAGCCAAAGCATTCACTTTAATAATACTATCTTTTTTTTTGTTTTATAGTAAGTAAGGTCAGTTTGTAAGTGCTGTGTGCAGGAGTACACTAGCCAGGAATAAATGTCTCTCTATGCAATAACTTCTTTATAATACTTATTTCTTTTAGTACGGTATTCCCATTAATGGTCCAACTTTGCTGGTATAACTAGAAATTTCATGTCTGGTATGAAAAGTAGTTTTATAGGTTTCATAAGCACGAGGCAAAAATAACTGTTTTAAAAGGAACATTAAGTGCAAAGTGACATATATAAATTGCCTTAGAAATGTTAAATAAAAAGATTTTTTTTTTAAATGTGCAGCATAAAAATTATGGAGGTTAAACTTGTAAGTGCAGTCCTTTTATCCATAAGCATTGTAAAACTCAAAGAATTCGCATGCAGTAAAACCCATTTTCCTTTTTACCTATAATATATTTCTCCTTTATAGTATTCAATTTAAGTGTTGGCTAACCAAGGAATGACCTTCCCAAAAGAAATCACTTTTCATGCTTTCCCTTATTCATTAATCTTATGTTATTGTAATATACAGGAAATTATTGAGTTTTAGCATTTTAAATATATTTGATATCCATGCACAGAACAGTTAGTGATAGTGCTATGTGTTTGCTGTCTACATGGTGATAACACCAATTCAGTGATTTTTATCTCGACTTTTGCTGACTGGAGTTGATTTCTTATTAAAAGGGCAAAGATAAGTCACTTTAACTCAGCAAAAAATCAGTTTCTTATTATAGGCCTAGTAAACCTCAGCATTGTAAAGAAACTTTTTGTATAGTATGATTTTATCTATCAAATAAACCTACACAAATGTCAAGGATTCATCCAATTTAAACTTACTGGATGAGAGAGATCTGTTTTTCCTAATTACTTGAAAAGTACCTAGTAGTAATAGGATAAGACAGCATAGGTGACTAGCCAATTACTTAGTTTAAGCTATTTACATCAATCCATATGCTATAAATTATGTCTAAACTCTCTTGCACTTCTGGAAAAGTGAATAAAATCATATAAGTTTATTTTGAATACAAGATCAGATATAGTATGCTGAGTGACACTTAAAAAGAATGAAACGGTAACCGTACCTTATTTTCTGAAGCAATCTTGACACTAATGCTAAATTACAGCTTGGAAACATCTAGCATTTTTACCTTTATGAGAAAAGGCTTTTTACATATTTAACATAATTCTAGGGAAAATATACTGGAATTATGTATAAAGATATGTACACTGTAACCAAAGGGCATTTATATTCCCCAGTAGAATACTTACAACAATTTTATTGCCATTTGGTGTCATTTTCTAACAGATATAAAATACAGCCAGTAAACAAACTAGACTTTAGATTTAAGCTGACAGCTGTTCCTTCAGAAGCAATATTCAGATATTTAATCTTAAGAATACTGAATATTTTACAATTGTTTGAGCAAACTATACTTTTAGCATGTGAAGGACTGTGTGCTTTTATATACAGTTCTTGGATCTGATAATGACACTAAAAAACAACCTCAGAATAATCTACACATTTGTCGCTCCCATATATTCCCTGGGCAAATCAACAAATTGCCTCATGTTTTATTCTTAATTCCAGAAATTCTTTTTATATATGCAATGTTACTATGAATATTGGGCCCTATTTTTTTCCCGTATGTGTCTAAGCCATACAGTTGACTTCAGTGCAGTTTATGCATATATCTGAGTGCAGCTTTTTCTGGCTCTAACTTCATTAAGGGAATAAATTGGCCAAGTTTACCACAAAAGCCCCACATGCTGTTTTCATAAAGAGTCTCACTGCAGTGGTCACTAAATATTTATGGAGAAGAGAAAGAGGGAGGATTGCTCCAGCTCAGTAACTGAGGTTGGTAGACTACCTAATGGCTTCATCATCATATGGCTTCATCATCTCACCAGACCCTGCAGAGGCAGCAGGAGAGCTCTGGCCTTTCCAAATCATAAGCTGGATCAGCCCAGGTGAGTGAGTGGGTGAGGACTTCTTGGCTGGGGAGAGGCTGGGCAAAGGTAATTGTTTGGTGGAAATTGACCCACATTAGCTGGTTTCAGCAGCACCATGCAAGGTCATCTACAAACACGGCCAGTTTACGACGAGTCAGTTTCCTGGAGATCCCTGTAAAAGTACGGATTAACAGCAAAAGTTTATCCCTCACAAGAGTGATTCCACCAACATTAATGCATCCATGTGTGTACATACTTCTGGGATGAACAGGCTTCGCCACATGCTGCCCGCCTAATTCTGGGATCTAATCTTGTCCCATTGAAGACAAATAATATTTTGCAACTGTGTTCAGTGAGGGAATGATCCCTCTCAAAATGCATTGAGATTCAGTTGGGAATCATATATGATAAAAGTCAGCTAAGGGATACTGCCATGGACATAGGCAATCAAATCAGTACAGCCTGCAAACTTACAGCCCTTTTGTTGAGCGTCATGGCAGTATTGATAGTTGCTCTGCAAATAAGAAGTAAACCAGACTGTTTTAAGGTATCTTTACCAGTATATATTTGTCCTTTAATGCTGTAATTAATCAGTTTAAGAAATAAAATAGTTGTCCAGGCGGCTCTTTCCACTCCACTGAAAAGATGAGAACAAGAAAAAGAGTTTTCCTGGAGAAATCTTGCATTTGTATGCTTTTCTCTTAAATTGATCCAGCTCATCTCACATATGACATGTGAATCCTGTCCTGAAATGGACCCATTCTGTTGCTCCTTGCCCTTGCGATGGCTAAGCCAACCTATTTGCTGCAGATGAAGAGGATGCGCACACTGCGTCTCAGCTGAGGAGAAGTTACATCTTCATACCTTCTGTTTTGGGTTGTTTACCCTTTCAAGTATAAGATTAAGTCCGTACTGTTTTTCAGTAAATTGAGGTATAGCCTTAAATGGAAACTGTGTCTATTAATTATTAATCTATTAAGATTATCAACTACAGTCAAGGCTATGCTGCTGCATGCAACAGGATGGAAATGCAGGAGGCAGCCTTGCAGCATGTGGCCACTTCTCTACTCTCTAGTTTTCTCCAAATCCCAGGTTTGATATACTCTCTGCCCCAGAAACTCATAGTGTCATGGAGAAAAAGATGTATTTTCATCAAGATGGCCATGTCCTGCTAATCTGTGGTGGAGGCTGTGGTCTGATAGAAGGGCCAGGAAAGTGCTGAGTCAGGTCCATCACTGGCTCTCTGCAGGATGCGCAGGCTTTCAGATAACCAGAAAATGACTGAAATACCTACACTGCAGCATTATATCTTTATTCTGTATATGAATATGCAATTTTAAATCATGCTGGCTTCTTTATTAGTGGCAGAGAATGTGGGGTGAGGAGCAAGGGTTGCATACCTAGCCAAAACATATACAAATATTTTATGGGCATGGATATTTACATTTATTTTTCCATGGGGGCCTGAGGAGTTAGAACTGTTTCCTTCAGATGTTCACAGAAGGGATGGGAGCAAGTTCAAGTGCATCCATTCAGCCTGAGCAAATGGTCATGGGAAAAATGTTGTCATATAACTGTAGTTGTGCTGTATAACAAGCATGAATGCTGATAATTACGGGGCACTTTAAAAGCGCTGTTTTGTATTGAAACACTTCTCTTTCGGTTCCAACTCAATTTAAACATCCAGATTGGCTGTATTTTCAGTGATTTTCTGAATGACTTTATGCTGCGAGGGTAAAGCCACTGATTGCTGCAGAAGGTATTTTGTACTCTTAAACGCTTATAATCTTTATTCACCTATCATGTAGCTTTACCTGAATCAGCAGTAAAATCTCTGAAGTCAAAGGATAATTGCCAAAACAGCATTAACTTCTTTTATCCGAATAAAAAAAATAACCTTTGAAAAAGTACCTTGCAGCTACACAGATTGACAAAATGCATCAATTATATTTTTGCTCACTTTATAATTACACTGCAGTAAGTGCACAGTGAACTTTACTACACGGTTGATTAACCATAAGGTTACTGCTATTAAGTCACTCTCAGAAACAACAACTTGGACTTTAATTTAAGAACAGAACTCTGCACAACATCTGATCAAGCCTAAAAATCTGACATATCCATACAAGCTTCAATTTAAAGTACACAAGTAAACAATAGCACCTTAAGTGTAGCAAAGGGTTTCTGTTGGTTTGGTCAGGCGTGGTGGATATGTGAACTATCAGATTTGAAAGACCCTTTGGTATGTGTTAACCAACACCAATAGAAAGGCTTTTCCAGTGAACTCTAAATATCCCCTGTATCCTCTTCTTTGAATAGAAACAAGTCTTACGAGGAGCAGCTGAGGGAACTGGGGTTGTTTAGGCTGGAGAAAAGGAGGCTCAGGGAAGACCTTATCACTCTACAACTACCTGAAAGGAGGTTGTAGCAAGGTGGGGGTCGGTCTCTTCTCCCAAGTGACAAGCAGTAGGACAAGGGGAAATGGCCTCAAGTTGTGACAGGGGAGGTTTAGATTGGATATTAGGAAAAAATTTGTCACTGAAAGGGTTGTCAAGCATTGCAACAGGCTGCCCAGGGAAGTGGTTGAGTCCCCATCCCTGGAGGTATTTAAAAGATGTGTAGATGTGGTGCTTAGGGACATGGTTTAGTGGTGGGCTTGGCAGTGCTAGGTTAACGGTTGGACTTGATGATCTTAAAGGTCTTTTCCAACCTAAATGATTCTATGATTCTATGAAATTAGTGTTCTAACTTCTGGGGAATTAGGACTAAATCTCCAGGTATACCCTGGTGATATTTCCACATTTTTGTCTTAGATTATTTTGACAGGAAAAATATTGCTGTTTCTGTTAGCTCACTGATGCTATAGTCCCCCTTTTTGTCTTCTGTCTTCTTGACTTTGGACAGTTGCTATGAAGCCCTGCCATGATGTTGTATCTCTGTTTGACCTGCCCTGTAGATCATTTATGCCATGAAAGAAACAGCTTGGGACAATCTAAAACTGGACTATCTCTTAGTGTAAAAGAATAAAACTAAAGTAGTAGGTGTTCTGTGTAAGTGGTACATAGCTAAGAAGAAAGAGTAGCCTGATATGAAGAAACTTGCCTAGGATGTAGGATGCACAAGACTGCTCCAATGTTCAACCACAGTTTTTTATGTGAGGTGGGGAATAACCCCTATGTTGCCTGTATCCCCCTGTTCCAGAGGTAACACTGTTTCCCAGCTTCATGGGGTACCAAACCCAGAAGCACAACAAAGATTTTAAGATGCTTCATCAGACAGATTATAAAAGTGCACAAAAATACAATAGAAATTAGAGATTATTCCCGTGTATAAACCAGTGTTTGTATAATTTATTACAGCTGTGCTAAACCAGGTTGAGAATAGCAAAATTCATTAAAACATTATGGTATTACTGGAGCAATCTGCTTTTTCCATGCTAGCATTTGAGTAACAGCAGCTAGACAGAGCTGAGGCTCTGTTACTTCTCAGCATCTGAAATTTTATTTCTGCTCACATTCATCTGAGCAAAATTTCTCTTATATGGGCACTCCAGAAAGTGAAAACAATCGGAGCCAGGGCACTCTTGTGCAAAATGCCACCCACATGACACAAGCTGAGGATCTGACATGCAATGTGGTAACTGCTAATGAACTGAGCTGGATCTGACGCAGTCTTTTGGCTTTATAACCAGTTTCCAGTCCTATAACACATCATCTCCTCCTCATAGCCATGATTTTCTTCTTTGAAGGTCTATTCTTTATTCACTCAAATCTTCTCCATGTGTCAAGAACATCATAAGAAGAAATTATTAAAAGCAATGGGCGTAAAAATCCCCATTCCACTGTTTTACTAAAGCGTTTAGTGTCTGAGAAAAATTAGGCGAATTCACATTTCACATGTGTTTAAATTGCTAATCTTACTGCTCTATCTGTATTAGTGAATACATTTACAGTAATTTTTACTTTATAATATTTTGGCAGAACTGTTAGAAAAATTGTTATAAGCCTAGGAGTGGAACTGAACCATGAAAGCTAAACTGTAAGCTGCTGTAAAGCTGGGTTATTAGTATGACAGAATAAAATTTCACACACACAAAAGCATCTAAGCCACAATATTTTGAAAGCAAGAAGAGAGAGGTGGGGAAGTATAATCAAAGTCATCTCTGTTCCCTCTGATATTTCACCAAATGCTGCCATAATAATATGTTGGGTTTGTCCGTTCTGTTTTTCAGGCATTTGGCGATATTGCCAGAGAAAGTCTTTTGTATAATGAAATGAGCACAGCCCAGGAGCGTGTAAGTGAAATGGACAGCGTGCTGCATACATCTTCACATATCAAGCTGAGGGAGAGGAAAAAGAGTACAGCAAGGTGGAAAGGTATTATTTTCAGTTTCTGTACCTAGCTGAAAAACAATGCTGATACCTGAGCATAAAACCATGGGAGGGATAGAAGAAAACAGATAATTTGAAAACACAGTTTCTCTTGGAAAGACTAGGGTGCAATCAGTTAGGGCTGAAATTTCACAGTTGTGTTTTCCAGTGCGTTTTCATCCTTGGATAGTTTCATAGGTCTGTTGCAAGAGCCCTGAAGGCTGAAGAGAGCTGTCATTCACCCAAATGCTGTCACACTTTCCGTTCAGAAACTCAGTACAGTAACACAATCCAGAGCAATCTATCTGGAGCAAGGGCCAGCATTTAAAGTATGCTGAGGGCAGGCTTAAATCAGCTACTTTATATATAATTAGGTATGTGTCCACACCTATTGGTCTGAGTGTGAAAGTCCCAGTCGCTCAGACTTGCATTGTGTTTTCCACTGTGTACTGAGGGCCACTGGAGCCCTCCCAGTGCCTAGAGAAGTGCACGCAGAGTGGAACATGCCCATGTACGTCAAGTTGCTAAGTGAAGTTGCTGCTGATCAAAGGTAGTATCAGGGTGTTTGATGACAGAGAATTATGGAACACACTGGGTGTCCGTAGACATCGCTGTTATTGCAAGGTATCAATTTTCTCTTGTTCCTTACCCAGGGTCTCAGTACCAGATCTGGCCCGACTGGGTCCCTGCACTTACCTGAGTCCTGTTGGTGCCAGTTTTCTGATGTCCTCCAAGGAGTAAAGTTCGGTTAAAAGCACCTTGTGTTACTTTTAAATCCACAGTAGTCTTGTCTGCTGACAGAGAAACCTTGGAAAGTTCACATGAGCAGACAAGACAGTTTTTTGAAGGAAAAGTGATAAATTTAGTGTAGGGGCTCTTGCTCCTGTATCCGTCTTGTTGGGGGAGGGAGGTCATCGGTACACTGTCACCCATGTATTTACATCATGTTTTTCTCTATATCTTTTTTTCTAATCTTCAGGAAATCACATTGTCTCCAACAAGAGCTAATTCCTGCAGTAATGCATAGACCACAGAGTTGTTTACATCCTGATCCATATCCATGGTATGGTTACTGCCTGACAGGATTTACGGTTCTGACCTCCGCACCTCTGTGCATACAGTGTTGTCCTGCAAATTCATAGCTTTTCTGTGGCTTCAACAAGCCTTTTAGTGTGATGAGCTCACTGGATCAGATCACAGATCGGATGATGCAAATGTAATTATTTCATATGTTTTTTTTTTTCTTCCAAATAGTGGGACATTCCTAGATTTCTCAGGTTTGCTTGTTCCTGCTTTTTCAGGTTTGCTTGTACCTACTAGTGGTGGTGGGGAAAACGTTGCTGATTTGTCTTTCAAGTTTCATGACTAAAACACTGACAGTGTTTTCAGTAATTGTTCAAAGCACATCACTATTGTAATTGCAAGGCTGCAAAGATGCCCAGAAGAGGAACAATGATGGCTTCATGCCACCAGTTCTGTAGCCAAGTCCCAACAGGCTGCAAAATTTACAAGATCACAGAGAAGATAATTTTGCTGGGGTCTTAACATTGGTCAGACCTGCTTCCCGGAGAGCTTATAGCAGCTTAAAGCAACCTGGAGGTTATCTTCATGCTTTCTTAGTAGTATTAAAGTATTGCTCATTAGTTCAAACCAGTCAGTGCCTATTCTATTTGGCTTCATACAAATGCATAAAAAATGAAGTCCATGCCCCGAAGGCAAGGACTAGGAGAGACAACAGAAGGAGAAGGTGGGAAGGGGAATAAAGGCAAGAGAGGTGAAGTTATTTGTCCAAGGTCACCAAAGTCAGAGGCAAATGCAGAAATAAACGGCAGACTGCCAGTGCCCTGACTCTTGGCCTTCCCTGTAGTAGGACCCTTTTTGTCCTGAAAATGCAGATGGAAAAGGGAAGAGTCTTACCTTCCTGCTATTTTGAATCATTCCTGTAGAACACTGTAAGCAATTAACAAAGTAATCAGTGAGATGTTCTAACACTCATGCTTTTCTGGTGTCCCTTTGTTCACACTGGTATGGTAAAACTTTTTCAGATGCATTTACCATTGCAAGATGTTTCCCAATGTCTTGAACATAGTTGATTAATTTTGATACTTAAATCTATGGTTCTCATCCATCTGAATAATCATTAAATGACATTAGGTAGTAACATGGACGTTTAAATATCACTCCTGAAAACAGTTTTTCTTTGGGCTTGCAAGATAACCATTTGATTTCCACTTTTTTTCTTTTTTTAAATTGATTTGTGTGCATGTGTGTGTGTTTTTATGTGTTACATTCAGACAGAAATGGTGTTAAAAATCTTCTGAATATCTACAAGAAGTGATGGGATTTTTGTGGGTTCTGTTTCATCAGATATTACTTGGATGACTTCTGTGTCATAACAGGAATAAAATTGCCTTTTTAATGTTTGCTTTGCCTGTTGATGCTTTAAACTATTGTACATAATTTTGGAAAAGAAACTAATTGAAGAGAAACCATCCAGTCCCAGAATTTTTCCGTGGATTTTTTCTACCTGAGCAGAGTTGCGCTTTTCACCAATTACCGCAGGTGCTGGGGTAATGCCGATTACCCCACGATGAGTGAATGACAAACAATGCAGTGGAGGCTGCTAGGGTTGTTTGTGTATGTGGCTGTCCTCTGCTATAAGTTAAGGTGGTGATCTGTAACCTGCTGCACTTCCTGGACAGCAGTACCAAGATGACAGCATGGTGTGGCCAGCATCACACTATATGTGTCTTCTTGGCCTCAGTTTTGTTTTTGAACACGACTGAATGTAATGGTAAAAATCCATTTGGGCAATATTATACCCTAGGTTTCCCACCAGTGAGTTAAGATATCCCAGTCTGGTTCTGTGAGATTTTGACTTAAGTGTTGGTAATATGCTATTATTTAGTCTTATGGCAAGACTGACTTTATGTGCGGAGCCGCCACACCTTCAGTTCTGATAGTACTATGCTGATTTTTTTAACAAATGTGGGTCTGGTCCTGAGACTTTGTTCAGCAAGAAGGACTTGATTGACCACTTTTATTTCCTCAATTATGTTGGCATGTCTCCACTGACTTTCATCTGATCTTGGATGTACAGTTCTGCAACAGTACATGTTCTTGAAAGCTGAATTTAAACTGTGCTTAAATATTAAGTAAATTTACCTTACATTTTTGCTGAAAATGTAGTATCCTACCTGTTAGTTTTGGTTACTTACATCCTGTGAGTTCCCATGGTTGTTGGTCAATATACACTGTGTGGCATAGGCTTTGAAATTGTTTTCTGAAGTGCTCTTATCAGCAATGTCATCCATAATGCTCAGTTATAGTTGGATAGTAATTGCCTGTCTACGCAGTGTTCCTTTACAACAATTTTCTCCCGTGTAGCTATATATATGTAGTCATTACTGAAAAGTGTAAATAAAGAATCCTTTTAGTGGTGTAGTTTCCCTAGGTACCTACTGTGCTCTTATTATCTAAAACATACTCCCCATCTGTAGTTCTGTTCTATTAAAGGATAAAGACATAAGTATGAATTAAAAATTAAAATGCTTGTTGTAGATTGGAGAGCAAGGTCTATTAGAATATATCTGGCGCTAGGCTCACAGTACAGTAGATAGATGACACTGAGCACCAGTTAAGCAAGGGGATGAAAAATGAGTGATTTTCTTCATTCAGTTAAATATAGTGCTAAGTGGTATGTGCTAGCATTAAAAGCAAATTACTTAGCACTTCACCAATCACAGCATGAGAGCATTCCATTGGAAGCAGTATTTCCAGTGATGCTCAGTCCTCGGTTTTATTAAATAAATCAGCTGTTAATGCTTAAGGAAGCAGTTGAAGACGTATTGCTATGATAATAAAAAGATTGAAAATGTAAAAATAAAGAGAAGCAGTACCTCATTTTAATTAAATACCCTAAGAAAACCTCCCTCTCTCTTAACAACAAAACTCCAAAGTGCTGGTAGATTTGTAATATTTGCATCTCCTGTACCTTCTTTGGGTCTTCCTTTCTTACTAATGAATATGACCTTTTCTTTTTTTTTCTTCTTTATAATGACATCTTTTTTTCTCATAAATCTGCTGCCATGTCACTGAACATTTTGATGGGCTTTTCTGATTCCCTCTTATATCTCCTTGATAGGATATTATTATCCAGTAATCTAGAGATGGGGGGCCTGATCCTCAGCACAGGTACTTTTTGGCCGCTCACTTAAAGATGATGGAGATGTGAGAATTTACACCAGAAGAGGTTTTGACATTGAAGGCTACCTTTATATCACATAGCAACGTTATTTTCTCCACAGCAATGGGCATTGGGAGACACTCAAATCTGCTGTCCGAACACGTGGAAGCTGTGAGAAGTCATAAACCTTTTCCAGTCTCAGACCATTCCTAAGCCCCCTCCTCCTCCTAAACAGGAGTCGTCTGGCAGGAGCCACACATCAAAAGTCCTGGGAATGACACATGCAGGAGATGGCCCAAGGTCTGAGCCACAACTGCATCTTCACCAGCAAGATCAAACATTAAAAAGAGAGAAAATTACAGTTCAGGTATCAAAATTAAAAGATTAGGGAGACTATGCATGAAGCTATCTTGAGTCCTTCATTTTTCCCCTAGTGTCATTCTTTGGGGAATCCTATTTTGAGCATTCTTTTATGACTAGGTTTGAAAGCTGTTTTCTTTATAAAGAGATAAGGGTAGGAAGTGAGGGACAAACTAAAAACATAGTTGCAGGAGCTCATACATGGAGTAAAACACCACCTCTTCTGGGATTTATTGTAAAAACGACAATCAGTTGTTTTCTGTGGTCAAGGGAGGAAGGATAAGGGGCAATCAGCTTAAATGTCTTGCAAATCCTATTTCTTTCTGGTTTTTGGAGACAGGGCAAACAACCATACCCAAGGGATAAGCTAGATATAGTTCATCTATTTTTAGTACAAAGGTTGGCTGGAGATGTTTTGAGTTTTCTTCCGGCCCCTGCATTTCTGGGGTTCTGTGAAAATTATGAGATCTGCCCAAAACAAGTACCTTTTCCATTTGTGCTTAAGTTGTGCTTAACACTTTAGTGAAATCAATGTAGTCTATACAGCAGAAGTCTTTCCACTAATAATGTAGGATAACGATGCTGGACCTGAAAAAAATATTTTGCAAAATCTTGACTTATTTTAAAATGTTTCTTTGTGAAAAAAATTGTCAATCTTTTACAATATATGTTCTAAAAAAAGGTGTTTAAGCAATGCTTCCTTCTCTTGGTGCAGCAGATTTTCATTCTCATTTCCCTATCTTCTTCTACTTAGATATGCACTCAGAAGTTTTTTTTTTTTCCTTGTTTTACAAGATCTTTTTTGAAGTACTTCCTTAAACCTTAAAACAACACACATTGGTTTTGGTACCAATATAACCTTTTCTTCTCAAAATACTTAAGGACATGATATTTAACCTAGTTTTCAAAATATAGAATTCCTTTTTTTACTTTCTTGGCTGACATGTAATGGTTCTGATGCATCTTTTCTGGGTATGCCAGTCCTGTCATATACACTAATATGAAATAATGACACAAGGTTGACTTAACTAGACATAATAGGGCATATTTCTAAAACATTCTGTATGGGAGGTATATGCACAGATCTTGCTACTTGTTAATGAAATTGGAGAAGTTCCTCATCTGCACTACGATATGTATTTATAATAGCCTCCTACTCCAAAGGTGCAGATTCCTTACCTAATAAAATAATAAAAATAAAAAAGGAAGGACTCCCCACAATATTGTTTCAGATAAATTTTAGAACCTCACCATGCGATGGAAAACATAACCACATTGAATCTGGAGTGATAGACAACTATCGTTGCATCTAAAACCAGTGCATGAATGTGCGTGTATATGTGTGCTCATGTGTGTAGAATGTTAGCAGGACAGATTTCAGTGGCAAGGCTCTGTATTTCAAACCGTTTCAGAATTGTGTCTGCTGGCCATGCTGTTTAAGTCTTTATTTCCTGATTTTAATCAAAAATCAGTGTTTGAAGGCTTTGTCTTTTTCCACGAATATTATCTGTGAATATATTAGAGAAGCTCTAAACTGTCGGAGAACGTACATTACTTTTTCACAGAATCTTTCAAATTAGAGACAGAAAAGTCTATAATTTCTAATGGTCTCATCAAATGATTTTTTTCTTTAACAAGTGGTGGACAGGAATTGGTTACAGCCTTCTATTTTCCCATTTTTTTTTTCACTTTTCCATCTAGAATCGCTTATATTTTGGGTCCAAAAATTGCATTGGCACCAGAAAGCTTACTACATTACATTGAGCTACTAACAACTCTTAAATGCTGGCTTTTCCCTGTGAATCAATGGCCTTATGCACATGAATCTGGCTTATCAGGAATGCAACATTTTACTCAAGGCTGGGGCTGTACTTACAAGCTGAGGGCTTGTCTGTGCTCCTCTGACAGCCAGAGGGATTTTACAAGGAATGTTGAAAGAGCTGATACAGTCAAAACTTGGTCCAAAAAGAACATACTGAGACCAGATTAAGAGCTGTTGCATTCAGGTTTCTAATTTTTAGCTTTCCTCTCTTCTACCCTTGTTATTGTTGTGGACGCAAGCTCTCCTTTGAGCGCAGCTGTGCCACCTAAAGAGATCATCTGCAGCTGCTTTTTCATGCAGGAGCAGCTCCCGTGGGAGCTCTTCCTCACACATTTCAGAATGAGCAGCAAATACCTTCTGTTCCAGCTGTTCAAGATTTGCAGGGCCATTTTACCCGAAACAGGTGAGAAAGCATTTGCATGAGCAACTCCACTAGCAGCTCTGAGTGCAGTCGTCTTTGAGAGAGGGGTGGTGAGGACAGGTGGGGGTGATGTTGTTATTCCTCCATCCAGCACAGCTTTAACAGAAGTGGATTTCTGCTCTGCATGTGTCTGTCTGTCTGGTTTAAAGGTTTATTTGGAAGTCCTGTGCTTCTTATTTGACTACAAATGTTGTGAGTGGTAAGACAGATCTTCGAGGTAGAGTTCTCAAAGACGGCTAAATGGTCTTTAATGCTCATTTTAGACTGAGATCAAAAAAACGCAAGAAGTGTATAGCATGAGAATGCACAAAGAAGCGACACTAAGAGACTACATCTACAATAGCAGTAGTACAGGACAGTAGGAGTAGAACTGTAGAGGAAAACAGCTGGTGCTGAAGGTCTGGCATCCATGCCACACAGGTTGTGGGGGTTTGCTTCAGACTAGTTGTAATCTGGTCCTATGTACTTAATGCCCATTAGGTGCTGGAGTAAGATAGGTTTATTCCTAGAATAAATTTTCAGGAATAAATTGGAATAATCTTCCAGCCTAGTTTCAACTAAGGAACCCAGTGAATGTGCCCCAAGACTACCACAGTGTGAAGCAGAAAACACAGTAAGTGGGGACGTCAGGAAGATTTGCCCTGAGAGCTCATCTAAGACACTAATGTAGAAACCTCCAAAGTTACCCATGCCACCTCATTTGGGAGCAAGCAAGAAACAAAATGTCCATCTAATGGATCAAAGTTGATGGCTGTCCACTAAGGGAACCTGCTCAGCTCTATAGTGCCTTATGCTCCCAGCACTACTAGTATTGTCAGCAAAGTCATTAAGTAGCTATATGTTTTAAAATTCATAAATAATCCTACTAAGGTATTAGCTTTCTTTCTAATATTGCCATATCCCTGGTGATATGTGCCCTCTTTCATCTTTGTCAGGATACATGGGGAATGCAAAGGGAGCATTAGCTCTATTTAGTTCAAGGCTTCGTCCATCCAGGTACGTGACAACCATATGTTAAATAAGAATGCGTGAAAAATATGCTTTATTTTTAACCACATAAACATATTTTCAAAAAGACAAAAAATCAGCTATATTTTGTGAGAGTTTTTTTTATTATTATTCTTTCAATTATATACTTTGTTGCTGCAGTTTTCATAATTCCTTTTGTCTGCTCTGAGGGAGAAATTCAACCCATGCTTTATCTACAGCTCATGTACCTTGGGGTAGAGAATAGCACTAAAATGGGAGTTGCCAACCAGCTTCAGACTTAACAACACTGAAGAAGGAATGGAAGCCTTTGCATCCTCCCTGAACACAATGCACATTACTGTAAAAAAGCAAACAGACTATTGGTGATGCCTTTGGCTTTCTCTAGTATGCTTGCTAGCCACTCTATGTGGCTGTGCCTAATTATGTGCGGTGGATGGGGCGTCCCATTCACTCTGCAGGGTGCAGCCCTCTGCTGCCCACTCAGCTGGGGCATACGCAGTCCTAGCTGTTATATTCCCTGGTAAGACGAAACAAAAAGATGCTGTGAATGATACTGCTTCAAGTGAAGGACCCAATCAGAGGACTTCTCAAGGCTTCTGATCAGATGGGACCTGAATGGGAGAGGAAAGGGGCCTCATACAAGGTCAGAGCTTCGTCAGCGAAGGCTACAGTGTTTTTACTGACTTTACAATGTTCCTGAAAGGGGAATGATTTGCCTGGGTAATTAGGTCAGGATTGTAATAGTTTGGCTTCCTTTTATCCTTGTTATGTGGATAACTCAGATTTATTTTTTCTTCTCCACAGACTCAGCAGTACAATTTCAAAATTGACACGGTGCTTATCAGAAGTTAGTAATTGGGTAGTGCAACCCATTTGTTTGATAAAGCTGAACTGTTCATTTTTGGTTTCTAAAAGCTAATAGGCATTGTTCCTTCTTTGACATTTGATTTTAATGGCTGTAATGTTGCTCCTGTCTCAACAGCTATATGTCTGGGTGTTTTCCTTAACTCCACGCTTTCTCTGCAGGCTGCAAGAGACTATTTTTAACTCTTTAGCTTCTGACATCTGTGGTAGTTTCCTCACTCCACCAAACGCTGCTGTATCCCATGGAGCTGTCAAAGGCAAAGTGCTGGGATTCAGTGGTGAATTAAAGCTGGAGGTAGAGGTGTAGTTTTTCCCAGGTCTGCATTGCTCTAGTTAGTTCAGAAATAGTGTACTCATAAAAAAAATTTTCATTGTAGTTTTGCACCAGTGTGATCCTATGAAAGTTGATGAGGTAGGTTAAAAAGGGATGTGTAAAACTCCTCTGACTGTATCATCTGCCGCTGATGGAGTTCTCCAAGGTACCACTTTTGTTACTGTAGGACTGGCTTATTGCAGCTCTTTTTCTTGCAGCCTTCAAGCAAAATCAATTCATGAACTATGCAACACTGCTTTAAGGCTCTTTTTATGAGACTATCCTAATCTACATATGGCATTGTCCCTACTTTACAGTCTTTTAATTGGCTACAAGCAGCTTACCATATTGATTGAAAAATTCTTCTTGTTACGTTTAGAGCTATAGCTAATTATGATCTTTCTCCTTTCCTTGTCTTCTTGATTTGTAGTTCACATCTCCTTCTGAGGAGCTCCCTCCTTTCTCTTTCAGACTGGAGTCTCCTCTACTGGAACTCATTCCCACCCTGGTTTCATAAAACCTCATGTCTAAGCTGCTGCTCTTAGCAAGGTACTGAATAAGATGGACCACTGCTCTGGGGCTGGATGGCAAATTCTGCTTTCCAAATAAATACTGGGCAGTTCTTGATAGTATCATTGCATTAGCTAAGATTGGCTGTTTAGAGAATATTTCAGTAGCAAAATAGAAAATATAAGTTTAAAAAAAATTGACCCTAAGTATTTTGTGTAGTTTTATGGGGGCTAAAGAGAGGTTAGATGGAAAAGTTCAGTCAGTAAATAAAATGCATATTTCCTTACAGTTAAGTAAAGTAGAATCCTTACTGAAAGGACTGTTAAAAACAACAGTTGTCACTCTTGATAACTGTAAATATGTAGCAAAGTTAATTCATTAACTTATTATTATGGAAGGAATACCAGAAGAAAATGCTGTGATGAAGTATTATTTTCCAGAAGTCTGACTGTAGTCAGATAATATGATCCAATGATCCATGAACTTCTAACTCCTGCAAAAAAAAAGTGTTAAATATTGTAAATATAGCAGAATATCCATCTTATTTTTAAGACTGGTATGTCAGATTGCTGTACAATCCTCACTGCTGATGTAATCAGTGGGAAATCCATCTAAACAAGAAAGATGTGAAATGGCACGCCACACTGTGTCATGAGTAAAGCTGACTGAAAAAATTCTATTTGACACCCTGTGTCACAAACTGGGAGCAGAAATTTTAGCATAATTCAGAGACTCAAAAGTGAGTTATTCCAAGATCTGGAAAACGTTGTCATCAATCTCTCTGGAGTAAAACATGTGAATTACTTTTATTGTTCCATGTCTTTAATATCCATATTTCCTTCTTTTATGCCTTATTTTATGCATTTAATTCAAATGAGAGCAAATGTGTTCTGGCTCAATGTCGTATATATATTGTATATAATAGAACTATGATTAACCGTATGAATAATTACCGGTTGCAACTAAACAATTCAGATGGATAGTTTCATTAAGAAAACAACATGGGGTCATTATAAGGTTCTGGTCGCTGCCCCCAGTCTTAGAAAAAAATATAGTTCTCTGAACTGCCAACCTGAACTGGTGATAAAATATCCCAAGTAGGCTCACATTAAGCTGGATAATATGCAGGATGCTTGATTTGTATTGAATATGTGTCTGGTGGCTGGAACCCACTGTAATGAACTAGCCCACAAATCACAGCTTAATGGGAATCTACTTATACATATTGCTTAATTAAAAGTTGTGAGCTTATTAACATGTGTCTTTGGCACTGAGCTTTGGGGATGTAATCTCCGTGCAAATAAGACTAGGTTGTAAAAGTTTTATAGATTGACAATGATATTAAATTCTATACCTTAATAACCCATCATTTTCTTAAAGCATGGTTCCTATTCTGTATTTATTCAAAGCTGTGACAAATTATTTGTTTGTAATCCTTTACAGTGTAGCACTTCGTGTATTTGTTTTATCTCAGAAAGCTAGTGCTGCTGATGTTTCATCTACTTCTGTCTGTTTTTTTGGGTGATGCTAGCTATTCTGGCTGGCATACAGGCTCAGAGACTCTTTTTTTATTCCAGAGGCACCCCATGGCACAACACCATGAGTTAGGATGGTGCCAGTGTTTCCATTATAAACCTCTGTTTTTGTGGGTTTATAACTGTACTGTAAAAATTTGCTTCGGGCTCAAACTTGGACTAGAAGGTCTGAGAGTGGGAGAGAACATTTTTGAACAATTAGAACAAAAATCTGCAGTATGTTGCTCTTTGTTACATGACTTTCTTCATTTCTGTATAGCTAGTTTCAGAAACACTTCTGTCCAATTTTTTTTCTTCTTTTTTTTTTTTTTTGGCTTTATGTGACATCCTATCTGGGCTGTTTCCCCTTCATCTCAGCTAATCCCACTTAATGTTCATTATTGCTTTCATTTTACTTTAAAAAAAAATAGAATAAAGCAATGTCTTATCAAGCTTTAAAAACATGACTTCTGAATGAGGTACCTCTTTCTCTATGGAAATATTTAAGCTATTTCACCCTATTTGGCACCTCCCCATAGAGAATTTGCAATAAGATGGTGCTACAGGGCAGAAGAAGGAACAGAATTGGTAAGTGGAGATAGAGAGATGAGCTTTCAGAGGTTGTTGCAAGTCATGGATTCCAGTGGTTTTCATGAATATCACATACACCATAGCTATCTTTGCAGAAGAGAATCACACGTTTTCACATCACATCCTCTGAATCGCAGATCTGTGAAAGAGAAAAGAAAACAAAGCTCTATTCTTAGTAGTTTTGATGGCTTCCTCTTCAAGAACTCTGCTTGAGGAAAGGACTATTAGCTGTGGATATGCCTCCTCCCCTTCATGCCTCATCCCCCATCCCCTCGCCTCAATGTCCTGTCTGAGAACACACATGGCGAAGAGCTTTGGCTTTCCCCAGTTGACCTCTTCACCAAAAAAGAGTTAGAAACTATTTCAAACAGATGTGCTTCTTCATGCGAGAAATTGTCTTCATTGCCAGCATCAGATCACTCTGAGTAAGTGCGAATGAAACCAGCTTTCCTTAAAGGACTTGAACGTAAGAGGTGAGGACTTGATTCTCCACAAAGGACTTGAACGTGGGAGGTGAGATCAGTCTGAGTGGAACTGCACTAAGCCACATGATGTTTACCAGAGGTCTACACAGTTCTTCTGCCTTTGAGGAGACAGGAGGATGTATGCTATACCTTTGTCTCTGTGCTTTACTATCGTGCCATCTCTGAAAAACGTATCCAGGGGACAAACAGGGATGGTTGTTCAAACAAGCAGGGAGATGGGCAGGATTCTGGTTTGGCAGATCTGTCAGATCTGACATAGACAGTCTGAGACCTGTGCAGCTGAGTCCAACCTGAAGTTTCTCTGGAGCAGCAAAAATACTGAGCAGTGCTGTGGTATCTCTTCCACAGTGTGCTATCACCAAACCAGGATGGTTACCCATCTTTGGAGATCGATGTTGTGGCACAAAGCAGAGCCTCACATCTGAGGTGCCCTACAAGAAGGCATCTCCTCCACCATAGAGCTTGTGGTCAGTCACTGTCTGTCATGAGACCCAAGTGCTGTTGTTGCTTCCTAAAGCTTTGGACTAAAAGCTTTGGGTTACATCATTATCAGGAGCCTACTGCTAAGAGAGGTTTTTGTTGAGGAAAACGAGGGAAAGAAGGGTCTGTCTCTGGAGAGGGTTCCTGAATGGCCTGGATCTAGTTTCTATCCCAGTCCTTTGTATCACGCTGGATGCTGCAATGGGATCCCATTGCAACAAACTGAGGTCCAGCAGCCAGCAGACATGGACCAGGCTGTGATATTTTACAATCCTGATCTGTACAGAGCCTGACACAACAGGTGGTGCCCGCGTGAGTTTTTACAGTGAGCATTATATGATAATGAAATATTAATCACAAGTGACTGACAACTAGATATTTCTTCCTAGACTAGGATGCAGATGAATATGTTGCAGTTGAAGAAATAAGTATTGTTTTCAATATATATGCTAAAATAAAATGTATAACTACTCTGTATCCACAGCAGTTAACATAAATGCATATGACAATTGAATAAACTAAGTTATAATAAAATATCCATGAAGGATTTTCTTTTTGTAGCCCACAAATTTTGAGTGCTGTACATGGACCACTTTTATTCCAGTTGTTTCATTTTTACATTCATCAGCAGTTCTGACAGTTCAAAAAAAATTATTTCAGTTTGGCGAACAATTGATTAGAAAAAGATCAAGTCAGATGTGGTTTTGATTTCAGACTTCATGACTGTATAGCAAAAAGGAATTTTGAAACAAACAGTTGTTTCAACCTGAATTGTCAAAATGTTTAATTAAAAAATGAAGGCACTGACAGAGCTGAATGTTCTTGAAAGAAATTATTTTGACAAGAAGTTCAGCAACACTTCCATATTTTCATAAATCCATTTGATGGCACCTTTTTGTCTAACAAAAATTTTCCCTGCTTTAATCCCAAAGCCACACTCTTAGGACCTGACTCAAGAAAGTCATTAAATACCACTGAAGTCTATGGAACTTGAGAAAACATTTGAAGTCTTGAACATGCTAAGTTCTTGGCCTGATTCCTTCTGAACTTCATTCTTTAGAAATCTACTCCCTCTTAATTAATTTGATTAAGTAGCGTTTTGTCTGAGACACCCTCCATTGTGAAGAAAAGGAAAGTAAGAAGAGCTAGTTGGCAGTTAGACTAATGAGAAAATGATAATTTCTCTAATACCCTGCCAGGGTCCAGTAAAATACTACTCGCATTAAAATAAAAGTTATATTTCCCTAATCTTTTAGAGATGTGTGATTCTTTCAAAATGATATTCAAATCAAAGACTTATTACTGTCCCAAGCCTCAGCCCATTTGTTCTAAGAGGTATGTTTGAATTCCAGGGAAGAAAAAGGAGAATTAATTGCAAATCTGTCTTATATGCTTTTGTATTGTATCTTTTCCACAATTTTTTTTTAATAATGAAAACAAACTTACGTGTGTCTTTTGAATATCCTCACTCATTAGGCAGCCAAGTATTGCACTGAAAGCGATGTTTGTGTGTTATTTTACCTGGGTAAGAAACCCAGAGACAATAACCCCAGCCCTCACTCAAATACAGACAGCTAAGCAATTAACCCATGAGCATCCTCATTTAGCTGCACTTCTCATGCATGTGTTTGTCGTGAGAAAGCCTTGGAAAGCGCATCCAGAGAGACAGCCAAATCAATTCCAGGGTGCTAGGAGAGCGAGGGACAACCCACAATGGTGGTACCATATGGGAGGTGTCCAAGGAGCCTGGAGAACAGCGGTGCGCCGCAGACTGCCCGGCCGCTGTCATGGGGGGTGAAGGCAGTGGTTCAGCTGTTGATGGCAGTGGTGGAGGCTCCAGCAGCGACAATGCTGCAGTGCCTTTCTCGTCCAGGGGGAACTTGACACGCAGCCAGGCATGTGCCTCTCCACTTCTGGAGCCAGTCGAACCTCATCCTCCCACGCTGCCATGCTCAGTGGCTCACCCAGGCATTGAAGGAACGTGTGCTGGTCCCACAAAGGGAGTATCCTAATTCTTTAGCATCTGGGGTATGAGTAACCACAAAATGGGTAAGACCTGAGAAAAATGAAGCTATCAGTAAGGCTGACTTAGGCAGGAGATATTCTGCTGCTGGTCCTTCTGTGCTTCTGCTCCTTCTGGTGCTCCTTCTGTGCAGCCGAGCACAAAGCGACATGCCAAGCACCAGAAGAAAATCCAGGCCTAAGCAGGGATCACACACACTCCTTAGCCTTTACACAGATCACACCTAGACAAACAAAGACAAGCTGAAGCCATTAACTCCACACTTTTCAGGTCCTCTGTGTATGAGACTCAGACTTTCCCTAATACAGAGTATGACCGTACTTTCTCAAAGCTCTAATTGATATTCTGACAGAACTTTCTTCATATTAATGGAATTCACAGTTAATCATCAGGGAAAAAAATCAGCATTTTTATGTGAAATTAGGTGTATATTGCTTAATCAAGGCTTTTCCAAATTAATTTACTAACAATAAGTATTCATGCGGGCTCTCTTTCAAGAATCCCTTTGTTTCAATACAGCTAATAATTTTTACACAGTTACAGCTAATTATCAAAGAAAAACTAATGAGGCTGTTCATGACATAGTGTAAGAAGTATTTCTGCTAAGATATTATACTTTTCTTTTTGTTGAAATGCTCACAAATTTTTTAGACTTTTCTTCCATACTGTAGGTATCCCAGGAACAAATTTTGTTTTATCTGCTACCCTGGAATGCCACTGAACAGAATTCAATTTTTCACCAAAAAAAGGCTCTGAGTACCCCATGCTTCACAGAAAGACGAGTCAAATCCTTCCTTCACCAGTACCACATCAGCTTTCTGCCGAGACATTGGACTTGACAGAAAAGATGCTATGCAATCCAGACTACAGCACCAGGAACATAAGTAGAAGAGGAATAAAGGCAAGAGAGGTGAGACATAGAGAGGCATGAGCAGGTGAGCAGTAGGCCTTAAGGCCAAAGTTGCCTTTGACCAGGCTGAAGTTTGCAGAGTGCAAAGTAAAGAAACAGTTATTTCAAACTACAGTAATGAATGCCCATGGTGCCTGACAACTAGATCTAAGTTTCACTGTCTTCTCTTGGATGAAACCGTGCTCCCTCCTAAGTCAGCTGGAATGTTGCCCACCTACACCAGGGAGCTGGGACTAATGTTACACCCAAAGCATTATGCAGCGACCAAACAAAAGGGGTATGAAAATATTGAAGGATGTGATCCCCTTCACCTCACTCAGGCAAATAATCAGTAATTACTCAGGCAACTAAGGTAAACTTCTTAGGTAATTAAGACAAACAAGATAGGGCTGCTGGTGTAATGCTCTGAGAAAAGCCACTTGTGCTAATAGCTCCCATGCCAAAAAAAGAGACAGAGGCTGACGATTCTCTGGACATCTGAGCTGCTGGATAAAAAATGTCATCCCACCTGTATTATCTAAACTTCTTGAGCTTACTGAGCAGGAACTGGAGGAATAAGAGGTAAATTTTCGTTTATTTAATCATGGCCCCAGAGGAAGTCAGTGCAGTGAAGAGGTAAATGGAAATGTTCTTTAATTGTTTAAAAACAATAAAAAAGAAATTTGTTCTGAATGTAAACAGAATTATGAAAAAATCAGAGTATCTGGTTTTAAAGTAAATCTACATACCCATCTGGGCTTATCTAGAACACTTATTGAAGGATTTACATTATAATGCTGATGATTTCATTGTTCTTTCTGGCCTCTCATGAACATGTCCAGAAATGAAAGGGCTCTCTTTATCCACCATGCAAGTACAGCTGAAGTGTTGCCAGTGCAGGCTTTTCTGTCTTGTCCTACTAATTTATGCACCCCTCAAGGTGGGATGATCATTCATTCTCTCTGTCCTAGAGCACTCTGGACCACGATACTAAGTGCGGGGAGGACTGCGTGTCCTATTTCTGAGGAATGAGACAAAAATACTAGTATTTTGCATTGGCCACTGGTAATCATCCAACAGTAAAAGTACCTAGAGCCTGACTCAGTGTCCATAGAAGACAAAGGGAATATTTTAATTAGCTTCAGCTGGGTCCTTTGTGCTCTTGGGCTAGATTTTATCAACTGAAAACCACAAAAGACATATGTATGCTGCAACAGATTTGTTTCCCTTCTGAAGCAACTACCTAAAATTAAATGTTCCATAAATATTTGAGTGACAAAACTGTAACTGAATCCTTATGGTACAGGGACAGTATTTGCTGTGTTCAAAGCCAATCTAAAATATACAGTATGCAAAATACTGGTCCATATTTGCAAACATGGCAAGTGGCTTCTGAGGCTGGCCTTTGGGGTGCTCTGTTTAGAGTGCCAAAAGTTCCTGAAAATTTGGGGTAACCAGACTCATTGGCACCTTTTGAAAATGCAGTACTTGCTAGAAAACAATTCCACATAGCCATAGCCAGGAGTGAACTGAAGCCGCTCAGTGCTGTGGAAAAGTTAGGGCTTGTTGCTTTCATTATTCTTAGCTCAAAGTCTATTTAAAATGGTGAAAGACTTCTTGCCAGCTTGTTAGGTTAAGGATTGCAAACAAAACCTTAGGAATACTTACAATTAAATCCTCTGAATTAACCTTTCTAAAAACAAATGTGTGTACTTGATTCAGTACTTTGTTCTTTCCAAACTTGGAAGTGCCAAGGTATAGGGGAAATGATTTTTTTTTTTTTTTTTTTTTTTTTTAATTTTTGAGGTGGGTTGGGGGAAAGAAGCTTTGGCTTTTTCCCTTTTTTTTTTCTCTCTGTAGGGTTTGGGTTGGTTTTTTTTTTTTTTTGGTCAGTTTTTCGAAAGTGCCAAGGTAAGGGGAAAATTTTTTTTTTTTTTTTTTTTTTTTTTTAATGTTTGAGCTGAGTTGAGAGACAGAAGTCTTGGCATTCTCACATCTGATTTTCATGGGATTTCCTATCTAATAGTGTAGAATCAGAAGGCTTGAATAAGCATCCTAACACCTGAGATTTGCTAATTGATGGTTATAATGAGCACCTGATGGTCTAAGATAACACAATTCCTTTTCACCCTTCCCTTGTGAGGGCATATTATGTTGTGTTTCTCTATGCTAAAGAGAAGACAAAGAGTGACTACTGGTGCCAGAAGAAATAAAATCAAGATATCTCCCAATAACTGGAGAGCCAATATATGTCACTGCTCTAGCTCCCTCTGCTCTTGACATCATTTAAGGAGTTCTGTGTGAATCCACCTGGGAACAACAGAGACAGACAGTAATCAAGGCAGTCCTTGAAGAAGCAACTGTAAATCTGACAGAGAATGAGTTTATTTACTCCTTTGCTTCTTCAGACCTTCACAAAGCCATTTGGGAATTACACCAGAATGGATATGTGAATATGGCCACTGTGAACCCTATTTACTGGAAGAAATTTCTTACATTTCTTGCACACAATCAGTAAATGAAACTTCCTTGGGAACATGTGATATTAGGGATTTTACCCCTAGTCATCTCAAAATGTGATAAAACCAACACTTTATGATAAGAAGGAACTTACATATAGGCAGTGAGTTCACTTAGCACTGCTGACTCTGCGTTTCCAACTTGCAGGATCTGAAAGCAGCTGCTTTATGAGGAAGCAAAGCCTGCACTGGATAAAGATTGCAAGGTCTTCCCTAGGCTGCTCTCTACCCCTCCTTAACTTGTGAGATCAGCTGTGCTTTAGAGAGAGAGAATCCCTCCTGCCTTCCTTAAGTCTGCATTCCTATTTGATAACAGAGGTCTTGATTTAAGAATTACCAGCACTGGAATGAATCTCATTGCTGTTCATGAATCCTGGTAAGATTGAATATGTGTCTTTCACTGGTTAGCCTTTTCACATGTGACTGCATTCAGCAGCACTGAACATCATTGGATGTAACCCATCAGGTAACTTGTTATATTAGGCAACGACCAGCTGCCGATTCTGAGATTTGAAGCAACAGACTTAGATTTATACATGGGGATGCAGGCAGAGCAAGCTCTCTTGCCTCCACACCAACCTGCAGGAGCAATCCAGCTCCAGTCTGGAAGGAGCAGAGCACAGCGCTATGTCCATGCTGAGGCATCCTGCTCGGCATGTATAACTATATCATGGTGTTGACTCTGCTGTCCTTTCCCCATTCAGTGCTATATTCACATGAGGACTGTTCTCACAGTAAGTCACTGCTCAGTCTAAGAATGGGTGGGATCATTTCCTTGCACATGTTTAGCTCCAGGAACATGGTTTATTTATTCCTTTGCCTACAGATATTTTGTTAACTTTTTGTTTGTTTGTTTGTTTTTAATTTTTTGTGACATTATTCTAGCTTCTAGACTTTGTGCTGCTTAACACACTGGTATGGTTGGACCGGATGATCTTAAAGGTCTTTTCCAACCTAAACGATTCTATGATATACTGCCCCTTGCTGAATTGGTGGGAGGACACTTTTTCTGTTTGTAATGATTTTTTAACTGTATTGCCACTAACAGTTTACAACACTGGGATGAAAAGCACTTAAAAATGTGGTATGGATATTACTGTGTGGTTTTGGTTTCTACATATTTAAGTCTCAGTTAAGATTGTACATATGAGCTGCTGAAACAGTTTCCAATTGCTTCTTGGGGTTTGGCCATTTACTTCTGTGTGTCAAGCTTTCAACTCATGTGCAAAGTGAAATTCATTACAAATTTATCAATATTGTCACAATTTTAAAATTTCAATTGAATTGCAATGACTTTTAGCAAAAGCAGTGTGTTCAAGCAGCAGCAATGTTAGTGAATTTCTGGGAGAGAGAGAAAAAAAGGATAAGCTCACACGTTCAGTGCAATTACTACTATAGATCTAAAAACTTGATATTGGTAAAAATCAAAATGCTTCCAACAAAATAACTGATTTCTTCCATTCCTAAAAAAGTGTGCAAATCTTATGCTAAATATTTTTTTTCTCTCAGGTCAGTGCTTCTTTCTTTCTCTGGTTCTTTTCTTAAGTCTCTTGTCACTCTCTCAGTATCTCTCTCTGCAGG